TTTGGCCATTTCAAGTTATGCAGTTACAATTGTTATTCATTGAATATACTGCTTATTACTCTGCATAAATTATTTGTATGTGATATAACTCACTTTTGCTGCCTATAGCAATAATAAAAGAATAAAATTTTATGGGTCTGTTATGTTAAATTAAAGTTTTTCTATTGTCAATATTTTACATATTGATATTAATATTTTCTTTAACAAAGCTATGGAGCTCATTCATAAATAAATTATATAATTGTGTGAAGACTAACATTAATTATAACGTATAATTTTTGCGTAACTCTGACGGTACCATGTACATGTCAGTAATAGTAAGCATTCCATTCGTTGCTAATAATAAACTATCAATAAACGGGTACTTCTTCATTGAAATACACTATTAGCAATTCATTCCTTGGTAAATTATCGGTATAATTGTGAAGCCGTTAATCCCTATATCGTTAGAAATATTCGTTTCTTGTGATTGTTATTGCCCATGATGAGACATACGTCTGTCTGAATATATACAAGTATATCCGGCTTCCGAATTAATCCAATCAAATCAAAACAATTAACTCAAGAGCGAATAACCGTCTAGAAATAGTGACAATAAGGTCATACATAGTAAAAGGCTACGTGTTACTATATTTAACTAAAGTCCAAGAGTTAACAATCCAATTGCATCTAGACAGTTGAAAATGAGTACATATTTTTGTATGCCTAAGTTATGTATGTTTGAAAACTCATATACCCAACCAATGTTGATAACTCAGTAAAACAATATTCCACACCCCATAGTTAAGAGAACAGGAGATAATAGCAAGCGCCTATCGTAAATAAGCACTCCCCTGATTATCGCTATTGGCAGCATAACATACTCCTCACCAGTTTATTACATAAGAACATGTGACCATAAATGCTTTATTTCAAATACAATACGCTTCTGGTTACGTGACGGTCCAGAAGAGATTCTACCCAGAACAATTATACAGTACGTTGGTTGAGTTGCCATAAGCAAGCGTTCTTTTTTAATGACGTAAAAATTCTTGTTGCTGATCAGATTAAGTGTGTTACACCAACCGATCGATAAAGTCGTTGTAGAAAGTAATACGGTTTAAAACTTTGCACACACGAATATGGATAACTTTGTTGATTTGACCTCGGGCCTTTCATCAGATTATGAGAAGCTTTACGAAAATGGCAAATATACAGATATTTCGATTCATGTTGGAAGAGAGCCAAATAGCAAAATATTTCTCGCTCATACTTTGGTGCTATGTGCAAGAAGCACGTTTCTTGAGAATAGCCTGGCCGGAAATACAGAGACGTCTGAAGAGATTCAAAAAGCAGCTCTAACGTTTGAAGATATGACTCCCGACGTTTTCGAAATATTACTTAGGTAAATTTCAAAGAGATGTGCATAATCGTGTATGTACAATGTAAATGCCAATATTAATCACAATTTAACGATTCATCCTAGGTACATTTACACTGGCCGAATGTCCTATAATGCATGCAAGAATGTGGGTTGGATCAGCCTTCTGGACGGAGCTAGCAAGCTTGAATTACTTGATCTCCTTACTGCAATTGAAACTTGTTTGATTGAAAAGCAAGAGGATTGGATCCAAGAGAATATTATCACAGTTCATAAATGTGCTGCATCTGTGGTCTCTTTGAACAGGCTCCTGGCCTACTGTAATCGGATTATGGTTTCCCACCTAGATATTATCTTCAAATCGAATGACCTTGCAACTTTACCAAAGGAGGCTCTAATCACTCTTCTCAAAAGTGATGAGCTTAGTATGGATGAAGATGATATTTTGATGTCAGTCATTCAATGGGCTACTAAACAAGTGTCTGAATTAGAACTTGGAAATGATCCAGATGACTGGTCATCTGATGACCTTAACACAGTCAAGGATATTGTTGCAGATTGTATACCTCATATAAGATTTTTCAACATCTCTCCTGACAAGGTTTCTCTATATTATAATTTATTACCAAGAAAGTTGTGTCGTGATCTGTTCAGCTATCAAATAAATAAAAATTACAAACCAAAGACTCACATGTTACCACCAAGAACAGGACAAGGATATATTGATTCAATTATTATTAACAAAGAGCAAGCAAAGTGGATCTTTTCAAAGATTGTGGAATCTACAAGGCAAAGTTATGTTTATAAATCTACTCTACTTTATAGATGCAGTAGAGATGGTAATACAGTTGCAAAGTTTAGAGGATTGTGCGATAACAAAGGACCCACAATTGTTGTTGGAAAAGTGTCAGGTACTGAAGAAATACTTGGTGGATATAACCCATTTGCATGGGGTTCTCATGGTTATGCTGATACTAAGGAGAGTTTTATATTTGCATTAGACAAAAACATGAATAGGAATAGAGTAAGTTTTGTTGGTGATAACAGCTCACATGCTATTTCTGATCTTGATAATGGCTTCCCTGGTTTTGGGAGTGGGGGCTGGGATTTATTTCTTGGGGGTGTAAGCAGAAAAACCACATACCAAGTTTCAATAAGAAATTCACCAGATTATTTTCAGTGGTCTGATTGGGAAGTTTTGTAGTTAAATTTGTATCTAATTGTTTGTATGTGTGATATAACTCACTTTTGTTTATAGTAGTAGTACTTATTATTATGGTTAATAATGAAAAAAAAATTATGGGTCAGTTTCTGTTGAATTAAAGTTTTTTTATTGTCTCAATGCAAAAATAATGTCTTCACAAAAAGTGGTGTGGTGTAATGCAACACTACATCAAATAAATAAGTGATTCCAAGTTCCCAAAAAGCTTATCACATACTCTATTACTCATAAAATTTTCAGTATGAAATCCTATTTCCATTTCTCCAAAACAAATTTACACTGAATTTTCATTAATAACACTAAATTATTCATTGCATCATCAGATATTGCATTTCATCTCTTAACCATAAACTTTTCATTCTTCAATATCTTTGGGGCGTAAATTGTTTTTTGTCATGTGCCACATGTTTTCAAGTCTATGATCTCTGAATCCCATTTTTGGCCACAAATTCCTTAACAACACATGAGGTGCTTTGATCATTGCCTTGTTGTAACTTTTTTTTTCATATGCCCGCCAATACACGAAGTAACATGTGTGTTTGCTTGCAACTTTAACGCGTGAAATACACGTATTGTCCAACAGCACGAGAGGCACTTGTATAAACTCCGATGGGGGTTTATTTCTTTTTCTGTGTTCAAGGTTTCATATATCAAAAGTTTTTAAGACTGTAGACGACAATACGAAGAGAAATATCAGTTTTTTGATGTATCTCTTTTGGGAATTAGACGCCGCTAAGCCAATAATAGAGAATCGTCGTTCGTTGTGACAGAAGAGCAAACAACAGATTATTAAACCATCGAAATAGTAACAAATTGAAAATAAAAACGCGTTTACAATACACAACACATTACTTGTTTATTTGAAAAGGTAATAATTTTCGTACACATTGTAACTATGTATCTAAAAACTTGTGTCATGTACATATTGTATTAATATTGTAGGCTTGTATTGCTTAAATCTTTGGCTGCTATCCTTTAATAATTTGTTGGCAATATTATGGAGCTTATTCGTAAAATACATTGCATAGTTTATCTAGACAGTTTAAGATAACTTAGCCAGCAGTATACATTACACATAAGTTACGCATGTTTGGAAAGCTCACTCCCCAAACCAATGTTTAATATTCGGTAAAGACCATTTTCCATCCACCAAGAATAATGTAAGAGAGCGGGAGATAAGAGCCTTTGTTGCATAAGAATTGCTTGGAAATAGCTTATGAAAAGTTTGATTCAAGTGGCTATAATGAGCATCAAATCAATAAGCAATAGTGGGGTATAATACTCTTGCACAGAACGCACATATGCGTTAACAAGAATTAGCGAACCTACGTCAGGGTTGGATTGACCACGTTAGTTCGGAGAATACATCCGTGTTGAAAAGCTCAGTGGTTATTACGATTTGCGATACTGATAATTGTTGTCAATTACAATATGTAAATCTCGTCCTGATAAGCGAAGCGATATTGTTGAAATCGATGTGTCTTGACTTTATATTGGACATGTAGGCTAAGATTAGACTGCTATATAGTTCTTTCGAAAGAAAAGATGTATATATATACTAATACCGCCGCTTGTTAATCACAAAAAGTGGAAAATAAAAGGTTATTCAAAGTATATTTTAGTAGATTAAATAAAAAGGCAGTTGACGATATCGCTTGGGTTGAAATTGTAATAACTTACAACACGTATAATTTGTTCCTTGATCAACTCATCGAGTTTCGTATTGTTGCTAGTCCAGTGATTGGATAAATTTTTGGTACGATTGAAATCAAGCCGTCAATTGCCATTGTTCTTGATTGCCCTATTGTACCACATTATAACATACAGATTACGATTTTAAATCACCATCATAATATAGACGATGAGCTACAGAAGAACAATGTGAACAGTGCTTTATTTAGCCAAAATTTTCATGTAGGTTACGGAATAATAATGATGAATACACAAAACTTAAGACATTACCAATTGGATTCTAAACTGTGGAAATACGTTATTATAAAGATTGATATATCGACCAATGGTGATTACTAATTTAGGGATAGTAATATTATGCGTTCATTTTTGGATACTTGAGAAAAAAAACTCAGAATGCCCCTAAGCGAGTGCTGAGACTTTAATGTGCAAATTTCGTGTGTTCAACGACGGTTCCTGATCGGATGATCGTTCAGATGCGAAGCAAAGAACTTACGATTTATATTGCAATATATAATACATGGATTATTAATTTAAAACTATAATATTAAAAATTTAATGGGAAAATTCGAGTATCGGGCTTTAATAATTAGTGCTGAAAGAATCAGCAGACCGACGATTATTATTGAAGACATTTTAATTACACAACTAGATGTGAATTTATTAAGACGCTTCGCCATTTGTCAATGTCAGGACATTGTTTATTTTGAAGAACGTTAACTTACGATGTATGCAAATGGCAGTGGTTCTTACATACAGTATAAGCTATGAATTAGACGAGTCTGAATATTATTAGTACTGTGTATACTGACTAGTGATATAAACTCAGAGTATTATTTGAGGGGGCAATTTGGCTTGTAATTGCAAACTTTTCTAATTAGTTTGAGCATGACTGCCTCTGTTTTTAGATTGTAGTATTGAGGCGCTTATTGACTTGATTTTTCAGAAATCAGAGAATAGGAAGGTCACGTCCATTTCGACCGACGTCATCCACCACAAACGTCGACGTCACTTTGCCGTCAAAGTATGGACTTGGGTCGCTTGGCTTGCAAAAGTTTAGAATGCTAATTAGCTTTTAGTATGTCCGTATACTCAGCAGACCGCCTCGATCATATAAAAATGATCGGCAAACCGTCACGTAAGTAATAAACTTAGGGGGTTTGGTTTATAGTAATCACAGTAACCAGAATTGTAAATAAAAGATTTTATAATTACGTGTATTATGTAATAAACCCCAATGAGGGGTACGTTGTGCGGGTAATCGTAGTAATCATGGGGGTAGGTCTGCTTATTCACGTATTTGTTATTCGGCAGATATAATCAGCTTGAATAGAAATGAACAAACTTTGGTTAGCATTAGAAAGAGTGTCTCCGGATGAGGATATGATTGGCTTATTATTTACCGCTTGAGATCGATTTTCCTAGAATACGATTGAGTTTCAAAGCACAGTCTTGCTTGCTTCCGTATGTTTTGCTAATTAAGATAGTTTGCAGTGGTTTATTCATAAAAAAGTACAATATTACAAAATATTGGACGTCAACACTAAGAAAAGTTTGGACACTACATCACTAAGATAATCTTATATTTCTTTTCATTGCAAAGTGAAAATAGATACCCAGTATAAATTATCGTAATTCAATAATCCTATACTTTATACTTGAACGCCTTGTTCCAGAAAGCGGGAACAAAGACATCTGCGTTCTGTCATAGATGCATGAAAAACAAAGTCATATAGCATAACATGTTAATTGGCATGACAGTGGCCTAATTACCATATATTAGTAAGTTGAGAGTTTTACAAGTGCAAATTAATTTAGCGTAATGTCAGTAAATAATTTGCCTTGGTTGCGTAATAAAGTTATGCGACAATTCAGTAATAAAGTAAATAAACTAGTAAGTTACACCAAAAACGGTAAAGTGTATTTTGATGGCAGATAAGGAAACGGGTTATAGCCTTACTTTTTAGACGTTCATATTCGTGAATTACAGCCTCAGCAACAGACGTCTGGCAGGTGTACTCGGCAGCAAAAAAAAAAAAATTAATGTGTGTGAGAATGTCAGTTAAGTGCAAAACAATTTCGTAGGGAAATTGGTTTCGCTAACTGAAAAAGTAGTAGTATAGCCAAGAAAATAATGTAGATTTAGTCTATTTATTGAATGACTTATAACAATGTTTTAATTAATGAATTATTCGTACATCAGATGGAAGTAACACGAGCAACAAAACAAAAAATTTCTTCGTAAAATAGATGCAATATTTTTGTGGTTTACGGGAAGGATGACAATATAAGAGTCTAAGTGATATTTTCGATGGGGAAGACAAAGAAAGGGGTATTGGTCCCATGAAAGATCTCCGTACTAAGTAACATCACGTTGTCGAGCTTCACTGTACATTTTTTTAAGAAAAATGCAGAGCAGTCGTTGGCAACAATTATACCTCTAACCACCTAGCAACAGTTAGACTTGATTATAATATAATAAACAACACATTTTAACAAATTAAACATATTAAAGGCTTCGATAATGAAGGGGAGGGAGGGTATGTAGACATCGCACCAATAAATTATAATATTGCTGTAAAAGTGTACACAGTAGAATAATTATGCAAAAACAAATTTTTAGAGTGATAAATTTTGCTCGGAATAACAAATGTCAAATAAGAAAGACTTCCCACTATGCTTCTGCGACTTAATCAAATTAAACGAATAGAATCGAGAAAACACTCCAGCACTTACATGCATACTGCTATCGCGAATCCGTCTGAGCAGACTAACCTATAATCAATTGTTTTATCGAATAAGATTATGCACATACAGCAGCAAACTGTATTACGGTTGATTGGTGATGACATAATGTACGTAAAAGATTCCCATTTGCTGATCAGATAATGTTGCACAGACGATCGATAAAATCGTGAAAAAAAAAATGGACGTTCTTTAAACTTTACACACACTCAATATGGATGATTTTGTTGATTTGTCCTCAAACCTTTCATCAGACTATGAAAGGCTTTACGAAAATGGCAAATATACAGATATTTTGATTTATGCTGGAAGAGAGCCAAATAACAGAGTATTTCTTGCTCATTCATTGGTCTTATGTACGAGAAGCACATTTCTCGAGAAGAGCCTAACCTGGAATACAGAAACATCTAATACCAAAGGGACCGCTATAATGTTTGAAGATATGACTCCTAATACTTTCGAAATATTGCTCAGGTAAAGTTCAGAGATATATGTCATATGCACAACGTCACGTCAATGTCAGGCATTCATTTGGAACTCGACGATTTATCATAGGTATATTTATACTGGGCGATTGTCCTATAATGCATGCAAGAATGTAGGCTGGATCAATCTTTTGGACGGAGCTAGCAAGTTGGAACTGCTTGATCTCCTCACTGCAATTGAAGCTTATTTGATTGATACGGAAAAGACATGGATTCACGAGAATATTATTACAGTTCACAAGTATGCACTCAATACTACTGCTCCTTTGAGCAGGCTCCTGGGATATTGCAATCAAATTCTGGTTTCACAATCAGATGATGTTTTTAAATCAAATGACTTTGCAAAATTACCAAAGGAGGCTTTGATCACTCTTCTCAAGAGTGATGAGCTTACTATGGATGAAGATGATATTTGGGCATCAGTCATCCAATGGGCTATTAAACAAGTACCTGAACTAGAACTTGAAAGTAATTCAGATGATTGGTCATCCAGTGACATTAACACTATCAAGGATGTCATAGCAGATTGCATACCTTATATTAGGTTTTTTAACATCTCCACTGACAAGGTTACTCAATATTATGATTTATTACCAAAAAGGTTGTGTCGCGATTTACTCAAGTATAACATGGATAAAAGCTATGAACCAAGCACTCACGTATTACCATCAAGAATTGGACAGGGATGTGAGATTGATTCAATTATTATTAATGGAGTGCAAGCAAGATGGATCTCATCAAAGATTGTGGAATCATCAAAATGGATTCAAGACAATCAAAGGGCATCTGGGACACATGCCATTCATAGATTTACTCTACTTTATAGACGAAATAGAGATGGTGATACAGTTACAAAATTTAGAGAGCGGTGTAATGACAAGGGACCCACAGTTGCTGTTGGAAAAGTGTTAAACACAGGAGAAATACTTGGTGGATATAACCCATTTGCATGGGGTTCCCAAAGTGATTATGCTGAAACTAATGAGAGTTTTATATTTGCACTAGACAAAAACCTGGATAAGAATATAGTAAGCTTTGTTGGTATTGATAATTCATGTGCCATTTATGATAATAGTACTTGTTTTCCTGCTTTTGGGAATGGGGCCTCTGATTTATATTTTGGGGGCACATCTATGCCCCTTGCTCAGAAATTTACATACCAAGTTCCAATAAGGAATTCACCAGATCGTTTTGAATGGGTTGATTGGGAGGTGTTTTCAGTTCGAACTTCGATTTGATCTAGTCTGGTTATTTATATGTAGTGTAGTTCATTATTGCTTATTGCATTTACATAGTGGACAGCACTTAAGTATATGATAAAAGAATAAAATCTTATTATAACAATGAGTCCGTTCTGCTAAATTAAGTCAAATATCCATCCATTCATCCAGATATTTGTGTTATTACAACACATTTTGCACCACTGCTGCTATTTTTTAATTCTTTGTAGATAAAACTACATTCATTCATAAAAATACATTGTATAGTGATTTCTTATTCTAGGCATTTTAAGATGAGCACATAATTTATGCCTAAAAAACTCATACACATTAATACTTGATATTCAGCAAACAATGTGTTTCTAGATTCCGAATAGTGTAAGAAAACGGTAAAAAATTTTCATGACATAAGAGAAATCAGTCTGGTATTAGTATTGGGTAATGCGGGTATAAATTCGTGCCGTCCTGATCCTTTGATATTGAGATACAGATGTAGAACTTTGATCCAAGTTGGAGATGGTAGACGATATATGTTAGTATTATGTTGATTACCGGACACTGTACCGCAATTCGGAATCATTGTCGCTGTGTAAATGTCGTCGTTTTTAGTAACAATATGGTTGAAATAAATGCGTCTTAAATTTGCAATATTTGTCAAAAGATTAAAAATAAAAATGGCTTATACGGCTTATACGCATTTAAACGTAGTGGATCTACACTTACCAAATATTTTATGGCTGGTTTCTTAGGACACGCGCGTTATTAACGCGTAGTTGGTTAAATATGTGTGAAATAGATTTTCTGTAATGAATACAGCAGTTGGCATGTTCGAGCAAAAAGATCCAAATTTTTGACAAGATTAGAAACAATGAACTGAGCGGTGAAGTCGCCTAATCTTTCTTAAAAGAATTCGTATGTAAGTTATGATGGTAAACAAGCTAATTATAATGTGGTAGTAAACTTCATTATTTTATTTTTCGTTTCTTATTCACACCATTCGGCCACATATCTTTTTACTGTATGATTTAATTGTTCAATAACAACAACTGTTTCCGTATTTGAGTCAATGTGATATCTATTTTATTTTCAAAAGAGGGGGTTACTGAGCTATCTATAAATATCTGCATAAAATTCACTTTAAGTTTGAGTTTGATTGAAGAGCTTTTTGTTAGTGACTGTAATCCACAAACTTGGTGCCTTTGACCTATTCCACGAAACCAAATATATTAATCAACATGCACTGAGATTGTAGCAAAATCTAAACATAACATATTAAAATAGCATATATTAAATGGTTAGTTAGTCAACTTATCATAAAGTAAACCAGAAAAGATTTCAAAGTCTTTAATATTAATTAATATTAATGTTATGACCCGTTCTAGGATTTGACCCGCAAATGTGATAATCTACAGAAAATTTTTTTGTCACAGATACCCATTACCAAGCTGCTGACTTGGAAATGGTTGATGCAGAATATAGTGAACTTGACAATATTCCAGAGATGGTTGTTTCATTGACAGCGGCGGTTAGGGATGCAAGGCATGGGAAATGAAAGTAGTGCTAGTACCAATCATTGCAACTGTAACAATAAGTGTTCAACGAAAAGACGT